TAATTTAACACTCAATACATCCAGGAAAATTCAGTAAAAGCCTACAACACACAGTATCTTTGAGACATTAGATATATATATATATATATATTCTTTTACCTTTCTTACAATATGCACAGAATTGGCTTCTGTTCTTTAGAAATGGTTTTCAACCATGGACTAGACAGACTAAATTTTCAGATAGGGCATTGTGTTTTTCTTCCTACAATCTGAATTCAGCTCCTAACTTCCTGCTTTACTTGAGACACCGAGTTATCATTGTCATTATTTTAACAAAGAAAATGTCAGTCACTTATGACTACCACCAGTATACTATTGCCTATAGAATCTGATTAACTCCAAAACTACCAAATTGATTTGTGTGAGAAAAAGAAACAAAAATGAAAAAAAAAAACAACTGACCCTAAAATACTGGCAGCTTATAGATAGACCATTCATATCTTATGGAAATAATCATTCAAGGATTTGAATAGAGTTAATTCAAAACCAGGACTTTTCAGGTATCACCTTGCAAATGAAGGGCACCTTTCCAGTGACAATGATCCCTTTAAGACCTAAGTCTTTCCTTTAGAGAGCAGCAATTCTCAGAAGCTCCAAAGGAATACATACCAAATAAAATTATAAGCCTTTTTTCCTATATATGGATTCCAGTATCTGTCATGTCCAATATTAACTTTGTTTTTATTTTCTTACTTCAAAATATAACTTCAAATCCTCTTGTGCAATTACATGGGATTTAAATTGTAAATATGGGAGGAAAAAAAGTAATGTTTTGAGTATCTTGTATGCATTAGGTCCTTCATCATTTAATCCTCTTAACACCCTTAAAATTATTCACATTTATAAAGGCCCAGACTGAGGCTTGGCAAAGTCGTAAGACTTTCAAGTTTCCACTTCTTGTAGAGGTGATGAATCTCAACTTTCACTTTCATTCATCTGTGTCTAAAAAATTTTGTGTATTAAAATTATATCATCCATATAATATTGTAATATTCTTAAATATGTGTAATAAGCATAAAGGATCTGATTTTAATAATCTTTGACAGCATTTGAGCATAGGAAAAATCTTTCTGTAAGTCTGTATTGAAGTTCCAGTTTATGTTTCAGTATAGCTGAATATTTTGTTGCATTAGATCAAGTGTATCCTAGGCTAAAATTCCCCTATCAAGGCTATCTGTACTTATTCCTATGAAGAAAACCAGCCATCTGACATCTATTATTCTGGTGGTCTTATTTACTCATTGTACTCGCTGCATTGCAACAATTTTATCATTTTGAAAGTGTGTGTGTGTGTGTGAGAGAGAGAGAGAGAGAGAAAGAGAGAGAGAGAGAGAGAGAGAGAGAGAGGGGGAGGGGTATGCATGTGTCACAATTTGAGTTTGGAAGTAAGAGGACAACCCAAGTGTCAGTCCTTGTCTTTCATCTTGTGTGAGAGAGGATCCCTTTGTAGGCCATGCAAACTGGCCTCTGAACATCTAGAGATATAGATCTTTACATATAAATCCTTTACATAAAATCCTTTACATAAAATCCTTTACATATTAATCCTTGTTAAGTTACTAATATTTTAAAAGCTTGGTCCTTTTGAAACATCCAACTATCTCTATCAAATTGAGTAGTCTCTCTTGTATTCCAAAGTTTATTAACTGTGGGATCATGTAAAATAATAAAATATGTTATATACTTTCTTATCCCCTTTCCTTTCCTTTTTTCTGAAAGGAAAAACCTGTGCACAATCACAATTAGATCAAAGCAAAATCAAAATTTAGCATCGTAGAAAGTTCAATGCTTAATACCTGGCACTCATTCATGATTGTATGGGCTCCAAGGGGTCTTGGGAGTTCCGCCTCTATGACTCTGCCATCCTCAGTACACGCAGATTTTCTCCTAGTCTCATAAAGTTGTGGAGTTGCACCTGCTCCCGTCTGTGGTGGTAGTTCCATGGTTGTGGCATCTCTAAAAGGCTTTGGTCTCTCCTGTAACTGTGCTGTGCTCCTACTGACAGCCTTTAATGGGCTCTCTTTAGGAGTTCCGAACTTGACATTTGATGGCTAATCTCAACTTTTCTCCCCAACCCCTTCAATCCTGTGGCTTCTAACACAGTAGTGTCTGAACCTTCACCAGTGGCCTAGCACAGAGCCAAGCTTCACCTTCTCTTCATAAACACCTTCATGCTGTCAAAATCCAATACTGCCTGGGAATCTCTTATACGATACCAAGTTACCAAGCCTTGGCCTCCTTTGGATCACAGCTTTTTTGTGCTGACTCTGAAGAAATACTTCCCCAATTCTTTGTGTCAATGATGCTGGTAGTGCCTTAACCACAGTCAATTCAACCAAAACTACAGGTTCTTAATTCAAAACATTGAATGCCCCTGATAGTCTTTAAGTGTCTCTCATACTTTCATATAAAAATCCACGCATGCAGCCTCTATCATCTGCACTTCTCTCAGCATTATCCTCTAACTCCCCACAACAGCCCATCAACCTCTGAGCACATAGGTTTTTCTTGCCTTACATTCCAAAGTCCTTCCAACCCCCCCCCCAAAAGTATCACTAGGTCCGTAACAGTAATACCCTATTCTTCGTATCAATTTCCATATTAGTTAGGGTTTCTATTGCTGTGATAAAATACTATGATCAAAAGCAACTTAGAGAAGAAAGGGTTTATATCATCTTGCATTTTCAGGTCACCCTCCATTAGTGATGGAAGTTAGGATGGGAGCTTAGGTCGGGAACGTGGAGGTACGAGTTGAAGTAGAAGCCGTGGATGAGTGCTACTTATTGGCTTCTTCTGCATGACTTATCCTCCAAAGCCTGCTTTCTTATTCAATCCCAGACCAGAGCCCCACAGGTGGCACCACCCTCAGTGATCTGGACCCCTTCAATATCAATCAGCAATCAAGAGATTGTAATCGAGAGAATTCCCTACAGCTTTGTGTATGGGAAATCTGAGAGAGACATTTTCTCAGTTGAGGTTCCTAGGCCGTGGTATCTTGAAATTGTGTCAGACTGACAAATGAAAACCTAGCCAGAACAACATCGTATCCCCATATCACCCTAGTCAGGCCACAATCACAGATACACCCATCACATTGATTCTGGGGATCAAACTTTGGTCTTCATGTGTATACCAAAGACCCGCTGAGCACTGAGTCTTCTATTTAACCATAGTCAGTTTAGTAGGCAGAGAATACTAAGTAATGTGGTTGTGCAGAATCTCTGATGAGAAATGAATTTTCTAAGCTATGCTTCTTAAGCACCAGTGTGTTTATTGCACTAATTGTATATATTTGGGCATTTGAAATTTGTACACACACACACACACACACACACACACACATCATTTTATCTTTAAAAAGTTTTTAAGGAGTTTTCAAATAAGGCTTAGAAACAGATTTGTCCTAGTATCTATCACATTTGTTTACAACAAAGGCAGAAATTTAAAGAGAAGGCTTCATTTCTTTGCTGCTTCCTCATCAGGTGAACTCTTATAGATACAGACCTTCTGCCAGCCTCAGGCCATTGGTGAACAACTTTTTCACTGCAGATCTGAGCCTGCATTTGTAACCAGGTCCATCATTTAGGAACTGAATGGCATGATTCCATCTGACACCTTTTTAAAAATTGCAGCAAGTATCATGGCTATCCCTAAGAATCCTGTGAATATTAAAAGTTTCAATGCCTAAAATATGCAACATGTATCATTTTAGACATTTTATAAGCATATATGAATGTCACGGGGAGATTAGATGTACCAAGCTCTGTTTTGGTCTGCTCAAGCACTACCTTCTTTTGGCTCACCAAGAAAAGAAAGTTGTGTTACCTATCAATCTTGTTACCACGAGGAAGAAAATGAGATGATAGGCTTATATTTTCTGGGTATTTGGCCAGTGTGCCACGCACTCTTCTGTTTTGCCTTTTCCATACTTCTACATACTCCTAAATCACCCTGTCTGTGGGTAACCAGTAATAAAAGGAAATTCTATAATGAATGAAGGCTAAATTCTATTTGATATGAGGATGTAGGCCTGGGAGGCGGTATGTAGAAAACTCTGATTGTTCCACTTGCTGCACTGTAATTTGCCACAGTGAACTAATTTTCAGGAATTCTAAAACTGAACACCTCCCGTGAAGCAGGCATATCTGCTGACATTTGATAATATCTACTTGCCAGTGTGATTTTCAAAGTACCCATGCCCATGTCAATTCCTACATCAAAACACGCAGCAAGAGCTTATGAGTTGGCAATTAGTAATAAAACTTTATGCAAGTAGTTCATATTGGCATCATGCGATGGTTACTCTGTACAGTTCATGGCTCCAATGGGGTTGGTTAATTAAAGAAATTGTTCAGGATGGGAAGAGACTTGGAAATGATTGTGGGCCTTTGGCTGTTGATTCCCCTGATAATGAGCTCAGAGACTGGAGAGCACCTTTCAAGTTTCTATACAACTGAATACATTTTTACCTTTGGCTCATTATTTTCTTAACTCCAGGTCATTTATTTTGGCAGGAGAAATGTACCTGTTCAACATCAAAAGGCCTGCGAATTTCAACCTTCATTTATTGCCCTACTATATCATTGGAAAGCGTTCATTAATTGAAAAAGAAAAAAGTAAAAGAAAAGATAATTCTCTGCAGATCAGAATCCTCCCCAGCTTCCATGATTTTAGTTCTCATAATTTAAAGTGCACGCTGAAAGTAAATTGCTTTATTTGATCACACATAGATTTTCCATAAGGCAATCCAGCAGAGGTGTCTGACATTGTACACACATCTATGAAAAATAATATGTCCAGAAATAGCACGGAAGATAACAGACCCTGTGAGCTCATCCTCTCAAAGCTGCCACCTCATAACAATCTCCTCACTGCATACGAATATTAATTTATAACTCAGAATTATGAATTATGCATGCAGGGGCTATATCTAGCTATTTTAGTTAGGGATGTTAAAAATCATTAAACTGTTTTCATCTTCTCCTGTTTTGCATGAACAGGACAAAGCCCGGCTTTCCCACCACCAGGACGGGTAGCACCAGCTTCTAGGCCTGCTCCGTCAATGCCTGTTCCTGAAGGCAAGTACTCAGATTTACAGTGCATTGTCTCCTGTAAAAATGGTTCCACTGTAGATTTTATTAAAAAAAAAGGAATATAGAAAAACAAAACAATAAAAGGAAGTTAACAAAAGGTCCAGTGTTTTGTTGCATAAATTTGCTATTCATAAGTTAATGTTGTTTTCTTGACATTTCAATTGAAGTCTTTCTAAGAAATAAAAATTTCTTCTTAATATTTCATATAGCTGAACTCTGTCTTCTTGAAGAAAGACCAGTGTCCTACCCTGAAACTAAAATAAGAAAAAAAAAAAACAACCATCAGCACAAATGGGCAAGAATTTGTCATTCTGCAGTTTTACCATTGCTTGTATAATTGGTATTTAAAGACTCAGGTGACAGAGTCTGAATTTGAGTTCCATATGTTATGAATTATCTAAACTTGGGAGTTATTTAAATTGACTACGCATGAGCTCTGCCTTCTAGATGTTATTAAAATTTCATGCACAGACTACATTTATGAAAAAGAGGCAATTATATTTAGTTTATAAGTGCTGTATGCAATTAGTAGTTACAGCCAGTAATAACCCATCAAAATAGGACTTTTGACAGACAAAACAACAAAAACCCAAAAGGCAAATAAAAACAAAACAAACAAATAACCTGCTTCCCTTCAGCAAAACCAGAGAGGAAGTCACTGGAGTCAGTTTTGTTGGAAATTTAGTCCTTTTTACAAATGTGATCCATTCATTATTTTTACTATTTTTAAAGTAAATTCCAACAACAAGATCATGTAAGATATTTTCCTAACCATTAGAAATTCACTAACTAAAAATACTGTTCCTGCCATTCTCATTCAGTTTAACAAAGTAAAAGCGCAAATAATTAAAGTCAATGCTCAACAGATGTTTTATGAGAATACCAATGGAAAGGGTCCTCATCCCCCGCTTCCTACCTTTCTTTTTCTCCATATAAAAGGGGACTTTTTTCGCTCACAGACACACCTCCCCCTTTTGCACATTCTGCCACCACTGACTAATAGCTGCCCATGGCTTCTGGTTTCCACACATGGTCATGCCAGGTTACACTGATAAAGCTTCATCAAAGAAGTGGCCTGTTTATACAGGGAGGAGGAACCATCAAGAGTCCAGGTTTTCTGCTTTAGTTTTGGTATCAAGTTTTAAGAAGTCTTCTGATGCAAGCAGTGTGTTTTGATGGTAGCCAAGACTACCCTAGCAGAAATTCTCAGAACTGACACATAACCTTGTTCTCCTATTTAAACATGGTTTCTGATTCAGTAAGTCTAGATTGGGACCTTAGTTTCAGCATTTTTATGAAGTGTGGCTTATGCTGCTCCCCCAGAAACATGTTTAAGTGTCAAGTTCCTATCTTTTCTAAACAACCATGTGTTTTTAAGAATCCTATTAATCTTGTCTACTTCCCATAACCAGGAGGATAGCTATATGATTTTCTTTGGGTTCACCTTCTTATTTAGCTTCTTTAGGATATCAAATTATAGACTCAATGACCTTTATTTATGGCTAGAAACCAATTATGAGTGAGTACATCCCATGTTCATCTTTTTGGGTCTGGGTTACCTCACTCAGGATAGTGTTTTCTATTTCCATCCATTTGCATGCAAAATTCGAGAAGTCGTTTTTTACCGCTGAGTAGTACTCTAATGTGTATATATTCCACACTTTCTTCATCCATTCTTCCATTGAAGGACATGTAGGTTGTTTCCAGGTTCTGGCTATTACAAATAATGCTGCTATGAACATAGTTGAACAAATGCCCTTGTCATATGATC